CTCTGGGCACAATTAGTCTCCTGACATCTGCAGAAATTTCTGAAATTTATCTCCTCATCTTTCCAGATTGCAACATTGCTTTTCTGCCAGCCTGCTCTTTATGGCAGTATTAACTTATTGTTTCTTTTTATGGGCCTGTGACCAAGGCAGTAGAATCTCCTAATCTGCAGCAGACAAAATACTGCCCTTTTGTGGTATGCTCTTTTTTTTTTTTCCCTAACCCTTCATCGGGATAATGTGAAAAATTTGGAGAAGACATTATCAACCCTCCTAGTTTTATCTTTTGGAGGCAATAATTGGAACTCTTCCAACTCAAACCTTTTCTCTCACACTTCTGGATAAAAAGTGATTAGATTTGTTCCATTTGCTGAGATAGTGATCTGACTGAGACAAGAAAAGAGTTACAGCGAGGGAACATGGTGATGGAGAAAATGGCAAACACTCTGAGGAAGAGAAGGAAAAGTAGGGAAAGCATGCAAAGAAGGAGTGAAACTGAAAAACTAGAGGGAAAAGTTAGAAAATACAGAGCAAAGAGAAATGGCTAAAATCTAATGGATCGGTTTGGTATCCCAGGACAGGGAGACCAAACCCACACAGGGTTCTAACTAGTTTCCATACTCCGGGACAGGAGCAGAATTAAAAGGCTCTGACCTCACCTATACAAGCTGCAAGAGGTGTCAAAAAAGCAATGATTCATGTGTAAAAGTCAAAGTGGGAGTAGAGGGGTTCCATGCAGCCCACACTAGGCAACCCCATGGCTTCTGAAGAGTCCATGCTCCGAAGAGTTGCAGCTTCCATCCATGAGAAAAGGCAACAGCTGAGGCAGAATAGCACAGAGAGAGAGTACAAGTGGACTTCAGCTGGGCACATGCATTTGGGTTAGGCATTTTGGGATACTTCATAGCACCAGGTAGGCATTTCTGGTGGGATTTTTTTTGAAACTTTAAGGATTTCTGAGATAAGTCAAATTAATTCCTCTGCGCAGGTGCACTGACTACAAAGGCAGCCAACAATGACCAGTTCTTATTTAGACTCCCTCCTCTTAAAACAGTGTGTTCCCCATATGTCTATACTAAGTAAAGTGGAAGGTGACGTACTGAGAAGAGTTTATATATCCACAGTAGAACTACATGAGGAATAAAGTTTGACTAAGATTATTTAGTTTCTTACAGAGGTTAAAGAGTATTTTGAAAGGCTGCCAATAAGCATTTATATGGCCATAAATTTATCCTTTCATAGGCAACTATTTCACACAAACTGCAAGAATTGAAGTTCAAGGCTCTGACAAGTTCTTTGGGATTCCAGAAGTCCACGGTACCCAACTTGTATTTTGGAGTATACTGCCTTCCTATTAAACTTTTCTGGCATAAGGCTCATATTTTGGGATAATCTTTTCCATATCAAAGCACATGGCTTTGGGCTATCTTCCCAAAACATAAGACAGCTCTGCTTGGGATCATGTGATGGACAGTATTGCTGAAACATAATGGAGGGAACCACCTTAGCCCATGATGGGAAGGACTGGGGCACTAGGCTAAAGCCAAGAAGTGAACTCTTCCAAGAGGTGCCTTGAGCCTCTTTGCTCATGTGCATCGCCAGCAGTAGCTCAACTGTGATTCTACACACCAGGTACACAGGGTCACAGGACACAGGACAGCCACAGGACAGTCACAGGACGCTACTCTCCAAATGTGGAAGATGAAGATCCAACAGCAAAAGGGCATGAATTCCAATTTGTGATGTTTGTGTTTTGAGTAGGAAAATTCCCAGGTCTGCTACTAATCCAGGACAGACTATAACAACTACAAATCCAAACTTAGTATGTGTTGGGTCATCATACTTACAAAAACAAAGAAGCAGAAGAAAGAGGTTCACAGGCTTTACTTGCATTTGAAATACACAAAAACTGCAGTGCCATCACATATGTTTGCCATGTACTGACTTAATATCCCTGATGTTGTTTTTGTTAACCAATGGTTGTTTCGTTTCCCTAGAAAATGTTTTGCATGAACTGGAAGATTTCCATGCATTCAGCTTCCAGGAAAATATTTCTATAAAATTGCCACATTATGGTTGCGCATGGGTGTACTCTCTCATCCTATACATTTGATATGTCAATTGATATATTTAATAATATAATATACTGATTCATGTACAAACATGCAGACACAAACACATGTGACCTAATATGTTCTGGATACTCTACTGTGTTCAAAAGGGTTTTTTAAGTCTTCAAAATGTAATTAAAAGAAGAAATTATTTTCTCAGTTCAAAGTGTTCCTTTTCTCAGTCTACTGTCAGGACTGGCAAGTTAAAGGAATTAATATGCCTTGGTAAGGTCTACTTTACACAAGCTGAATAAACACTTAAAATAATCATTTGACTTTTATGTGTGATAAACACTTGAAGAACACATATTTGTCAACACAAAAGAAGGAACTGAGCTACACAGTTCTAATCTGGAACTTTCAGGCTCTGTCACTATGCCACCAGCAGTGGCCAGGAAACCCTGGGGCAGGTAAGCCAGCCTCCCTCTTTTCTCAGAACCCTTGCCACTCACTGTGTGCAACCTACCAGGAAAACACCCTGCCCCATTTGCCATATTCCTCTTTTGGCAACACTCATGGTATGTTTCTGCATGTGGCTGTATAGCAGCATTGCAAAAGTATCCAGGAAATGTCTTCTGTGTGTTGGAGAACTCCATCTGGGAGTTTGTTTTTGAGTGACTTTATTGGCTCAGCATCTTCCACTCTCTGGTATTCTTTTTTAAATGACGGGAAAAATGCTTTTTCCTGTCAGCTTCCTGTAGAACTTCATTTAGAAGTTGAAGAAAGATCTTTAACAGTGAATCTAATAAACATTTATTTGTTTCTCTTACATCACAGAATGCACTAACCAGCTGTCTCATTCAGCAATAACCACAACCACTGCAAAATCCTCCAAATTTGCCAGGAAGGGGACAAGAAGCCAGCACTGAAACCAATGTACCCATAAGCTCAAGTACACATGCTACAGATCAATACAGTTTGTTGAGTACTTGCCACGTGAATGTGATTAAAACTTGAAAAGAAGTACATCAGCTACAGAGAAGTGTTCAAGTGCTTCATATAAATAACAGATATGATATGGTTTCTTACCATACACGATGACAGAATTTCCCCTTGGATGTTCTCAAAGAGCAGACTGACAACCTCAATAACTTTCAGTTTGTAGAGGACTCAGAATAACTAAAGGTGAGAAATTTGGATAAAGGGGAAGAAGGTAGTAAAAAAAAGCTGGGAAATAGGGGGGATTCTGAGGTTGAAGGATTTTATCTCTAATTTCATAATTTAATCATGTCTGCAGAACTAATATCCGGTTCCTTTTTTGCAATTCCTTGTCTTCATTACTCTCAAGTTCTTTTCCATCCTGTGTGTACTTTTGTCTTGCAAGGTTTCCACCAACTTGAAATGTGGTCTCTCTAAAAGCAAAAGGTTATTTTAAATTGCTTGATTTTACATATTCCTACTTTTCCTGTTACTTTTCCACCATTTCTGTACAACTACTTCTTTGAGACCTCCTCCTCAGTGAAAGGTTCAAATCAAGGAAGACAAACAGAACAGGATAATGTCTTCTTAGAAGATGAGTACAGGATTCCCTTGTAGACCAACCCTGTTAGCAAGCAATGGGACTGAAGAAGATTCAAATGGCAAATCTCTACCCTAGATATCTGCTGTGGAAAACGATCAAAGAAAAAAAAAAATAAAGGTCCTGGAGATGAACAGCTTTGATTTGGTCCTCCTGTGACACAGGCTTTACTGGCAAGATTACTTATTGACTGGATAGCTTATGATGGCAACTAGATGAAACTGAATGAACCACGATGGAAATGTGGCAGGGCTGGATCACAGAAACATAGACTGGTTTAGGTTTGAAGGGACCTTAAAGATCATCTACTTTCAACCCCCCCACCCACATTGGGCAGGAGTGCTACCCACTAGACCAGGTTGCTCAGGGCCCCATCCAACCTGGCCTTGAATACTTCCAGGGATGGGGCATCCACGACTTCTCTGTGCAACCTGTTCCAGTATCTCACTACCCTCTGAATCTATTCCTAATCTATAATTTAAGTATCTTCTCTTTAATTTTAAACCCATTCCCTTTTATCCCATCATTATCCGTCCCTATAAATAGTCTCTCCATCTTTTTTTAAGCCCCCTTTTAAACCATTGCTGGTAGGCTACCAAATTTATAAAGTTATAAATTTGGAAGGAATTGATAGATAAGACAAGAGATGAAGGAAAACATAAGGCAACTTCATGGGGGGGAAAAAACTCCAACCCTGTGTTTTAGCCTTTATTTTGGAAAAACTGAAATTAAACACTAACATAGCCTATGTTTCTGGAATCCCTCCTATTGCATATCAGTGGCTGCCAGGAGTAAACTGTGGAAGGATCACTCTATGTTTCTTGTTTTCCCATAGACTTCCTTAGATTTCCGTCACAGCCACTGCTGCAGAGAAATTATGGCTGTAGATGGGTTTCTGGTCTGACGTGATGTGGCCTGTCTTCCAACTGGGTTTTATTCGTGCTTCTCTGACGGTACTCACAGACAGTGTTAAGTAGATCACTGAGCTCATGACAAAAAATTGGGGTTTGGCTTCTTTGCAGATACTTAATACTTGCATTCTTCTCATTGACTGTCTCCCTTCCCTGAACCCTGGCTTTGAGGGTGACAAATACTTCTAGCATTTGACCAAAATCAGTGCACAAAATATACACTGCAGTTTTCAAACACTGAGTTTCATGTAAACATAGGGTGACACGAACACTCCACAAAGCATCACCTGCTGGTCCCAAATAGGCACCAGCCCTCTTCACTTCACCTTGGCCCAGCAGAAGAACAGAGCTTTCTCCACCTCTCCTCTGAGATGCTGTGGAAATAAACACTGCTGAACTGGCTGATCACACAGGCCCTGTTGTGTCACTGTGCAAGATAAGCCGGTGGGAAACACTCATTCTGTACAGAACATGGCTGTAAGTAAGTAGCCAGTAATAACAGTAAGTAGCCAAAAATAACATTTCCTATATATGTTAATGCAGTTAGTCCTGTACTATAAAGTAAGAGACCAATGAAGTAAGTACAGCAGCCAAAAAAATCAATTTTGCTGATCAGGTAGTGATTTTTAAAAAACCTCTTTCTAGTTAATCAAGTAAATTCAGAATCATTCTTTGGTCAAGCTAATTAAAGGGGTGCACAAATATCTCACAGACTTGCTCCTGTCTGTGTTTGTCCAATGTAAAAAGGCATATTCCTGGGACAATCCATCACATGGCGTGTGGCTTGTGGTACAGAACTGGCTTCGATTTACATTTTGGTATTTGCCATTAGAAAATCACTTCTTGGACTAGGTTGGGGAATATTACAGTCACTCACAAATCATTAGTCCTCCTCAGCTACCAAGGATGTGGTCCTCTTGGAAATAGTGATTCCATCCTACCCCAGCCAGATTGCATCCTCACCTCCTCTCCTCTCTCAGATTAATGCATCTCTCCATACTCTGTTTAGGGATTGATGGTGTGTGTCACTTCCCACCCCCAGACAGTAAGGGCAACTGTCCCGGAGAGAGAAGCCGTCATTATAAAAGGCGGTGGCGGCTGGTCCCTCAAAATGATGGGGGAGCTCTTTTCAGCCGATGTCCACACAGCTACCCTTAGGCAGCCGCAGTTTGACACCTTCTCCTCTCGCAGGCAGCGGTGCCATAGGCCACCCATCCCCGGGGAGGAAGGCAAGGCTCACTCAGTGCTAACGCTGTTGCCCTCTCTCTCCTTCATCCCCCGCAATGACCCCTGACGCCCTACTCCCTGAGGGTCCCCCAGCTGATGCGCACTCTAATGCCTCCCTCTCCACATCTTCTTCTCCGGGGGGTGTGATAACGAGTGCAGGGCGCGGGGGTAGCAATTACCACCCAGCGTTTCTTTCCCTCCGGAGCCCAAGCGACGGCACTTCCCGGTGCCACCGGGGCCCCTGTCCCGACAGGACCCCCCTCACGGCCGGGGCAGCCACCCTGCCCGCCTCACACAGCACAGGCAGGTCCGGGCGGGGGCCGCCCCGCAGCCCCGGAAGGGGCTCCCCCCGACCCCCGCCACCCGTGCCCCTCGAGCCGCCTGCTGTGCGTACCCCGCCGGCGGAGCTCTTTACCCCGCTCTCGGTGCCGTTTTCGTTTAGCGGCGATCGCTTCGAGACAGCAAATATACGGTGAGAATTTCCACTATCAAAAAGAAGACAAAAAACAAACAAACAAAAAAACCAAAATAACCCCCAAAATGGTGGGGAGACGCAAAAAAACAGGGAGGGGGTCTAGTTTGAAGCGCTGGGATTAAAGATCTGTGCTAGTTTCAAACGCTTATAAAACGGCCTGAAGGATGCTATTTTGCTGCAGTCTAGGTTATTTCAGCCCGCAGTTGCACAACAAACCATTTAAACATTTCAGCACAAAACAGATTCCATTGTTGGGCTGCACATTAAAAAGTGTTATTCGCTTTGAAGTTTTTGTCTAATGGCTCTAAACTGAAAGAAAATGTTTTCCTATTACTTAATTCAATCATAGCGAAGAGGCTTGGTAAAAAGCCCACGGATTTTGCCCAAAGTGTGACAGAGTTCTCTTTGTGTTTGCTTATCCTCTGCTGTCACACACTTTAATTCGCCTCTCTTTATCTGGCATTCAAAACTTTCTTCAATGACATTCAATAAGGTCCAGCGGCTGGAAAAAAAACTGGTTATTTTTTTGGATATTCTTTCCCAGTAGCTTTGGGCTTGGTGTGCATTCAGAAGCTGTTAACCCTTTGCCTCCCTGCGGCTCGGAGCCCCGGGGTTCAGCCCCCGGGCAGCGGGAATCCCTCAGCATAAGCCTGAATCCACCACCCCCCGGTGGCGAGACACTTCTCAGCGGGGAGAGATGCCCCTTACCGGGCGCCAGCTCCAGCGGAAAATGTTTTAAAATACCTTTCCCTTAAAAATAAAACAAACAAACAAACAAAAAAATCCAAACCCCGTTAACGCTTTCAGGGGAAGGGCACTTGGGAATCCTTTCTATATCGTTGAGGGACTGAATGTTTAGTAACATTCGTTTTTGTTCGCTCTGTAATTTTCGCCTTTCATTTTTGCACATCAGTATATTTCTAGGCTCGGGCATCAACAGTATCTCGGCAAAACTTCCGTGGATTTCAGTGAGGAATGTGAACACAGACACAACAACCTCTGCACAGCCGGAGACACGGGAGTGCACTGCTTTTAAGGCTTTTACTTCTTTTCCCTCTTTTTTCACCCCCTTTAATAAAAGTCCATTTCGTTTCGAGGCGGGGAGATTACTGCAGGGAGTAATCTCACCACGTTTTGACAGGAGTCGATGGATGCGTTTGTCTTTTTATTCCCCGTATATTAAAATCGGGAAAATCGGGGAAGATACTGCGATAATTTTTTTCTTATTTGTTAGCATTCCTTATTCTCCTACTAAATCAACAAGCTCCACAGAGCGCGACGCCGGGAGCCGCTGCGCGGAGCAGCGCCGGTGCGCGTTAGCTCTGACGGACGCGCACTCGCTTTGGAGACTGCCGTGAGCTTTGCAGATCCCAGTGCTGAAACATTCAGGCACCGCAGCAGTGTTTAAGTTAAATCCCATCGTTCGGGAGAAATGAGCCGTTTCCCTGTCGGTCCCCATGGCCCCAGGGGCTCCCCGGCGCACTTGTGCGCGGCGATGCGGGGCCGAGCCTGATCGGCTTGGTGGCGGCCGGGACCGGGGCCGCCGCACGTGGAGAGCGATGGTGCGATGGCAGGTGTTATCGGTGGCAGGTGCTAAGACCGAGCAGAGGGACCAGGTATAAAGAATGCGGAATGCGCCGAGCGCCTCTTCTCCCTCTGCTGAAGCGCCCGCCGCGGGTGCCGCCGACACGGAGCGGTGTCTGTGTGTCGGGTTTTCTATACCCGCACCAGTGCAGCCGCGATGCTTGTGGTGCTCCATACCCGTTATCTGTGCCCGGGCGCCTACGCCCACACAGAGGCCTGGCGGATGTCCCTGCCGATGGAGCAACGGCGGGCACATCTCTGCGGCCAGAGGTTTCGCCCGACGGCGGCGACAGCGATAAGCGGCAGGTCCCGGCACCGGGCTGTGAACAAAGACGCGGGGTTGGGGACGGTGGCAGGCGCGGTAGTGGGGACGAAGCATCCCGGAGGCGAGAGGAGAGAGAAAGGCCGTCTAGGCTGGGGGGCCGACCTGGTGCCACAGGTGGGAAAGGCGCCGGGGGCCTGGCAGGGGAAGCTGGCGCCGGCAGAGACCGCGGCTGCAGCCGGCAAAATAAACAGGGGGGAGCGGGCTGAAAGCTGGGCTGAAAGCGAAGGAGAGCGATAAAGAGAAAGAAAAGAATATTAAATCGCGAGAGAATGAGAAAATAACCCCGCCAAAGGGAGAGGAGGGGAGAGGCCGCCTGCTACGGCGTGGGTGGGGTCGACAAGAATAGAGTACATTATGCAGTTCATTTAGTTAACAAGGGAAATAATGAGGGAGCGTGCGGCGTGAATGCCAAGAGAAGAGCCACAGAAAGCCCATTGAGCGCCCGGCGCCGCCATCACATGGCGCGGGCGCTATTTAAAGCGGGCGGCGGGCCCCGTTCAGCACCACTCAGGCTGGCCAGCGGCGCCGCGCGGGGGCTGCGCGGGCGCTGCGTGGGGCCATGCCGCGCTCCTTCCTAGTGGACTCGCTAGTGCTGCGGGAGGCGGGCGAGAAGAAGGGGGAGGGCAGCCCGCCGCCGCCGCTCTTCCCCTACGCCGTGCACCCCTCGCACCCGCTGCCCGGGCTGCCGGCCGGCGCCTGCCACGCTCGCAAGGCCGGGCTGCTCTGCGTCTGTCCGCTCTGTGTCACCGCCTCCCAGCTGCACCCGCCGCCGCCTGCCATCCCCCTCATCAAGGCCTCCTTCCCTCCCTTCGGCTCTCAGTACTGCCACTCGCCCCTGGCCCGCCAGCAGCACTCTGTCTCCGCCGTCAGCGTCGGGCACGCACCGGCGCTCTACCAGGGCACCTACCCGCTGCCAGACCCCCGTCAGTTCCACTGCATCTCCGTGGGTAAGGGGGCAGAGGTGGGAAGCGGGGTGGTGCATGCCTGCATGACAGCACTGAACCGGAGAGGTGATTGGGATCCCGGGGGAACCTGCCGAAGGTACCGGGGGAGGAGAGTCCCTACCCAGCACTAGCAGGTTGGACGGGGAGTCCCGGCACCTCTCTCTGCTGGTGCCTCGGACGATGCGCAGGGGAAGCCCTGCTGCTGCCCGCCGAGCCTCCGATCCAGGCCGTGCGAACGGGGATAGGCGGCCGCGGTACCCCGTGAGCTTGGGCTCCAGCCTGGCAGCCACTTGCCGGGTCACCGGCCTTCTGGGGACGAGGAAGGGTTGTGACCCCCCAGAGCGGGCGGCGAGGAGGGCTCAGCGGGGACCGGGGGGAGACCGACGTTGCGGGGTGGGCGGCGGCGGGTCCGGCAGGTCCTGACCGTGCGCTCTGCTCCGTTCCCAGACAGCACGTCCAGCCAGCTGCCCAGCAGCAAGCGGATGCGCACCGCCTTCACCAGCACGCAGCTCCTGGAGCTGGAGAGGGAGTTCGCCTCGAACATGTACCTCTCCCGGCTGCGGCGAATCGAGATCGCCACCTACCTGAACCTCTCCGAGAAGCAGGTGAAGATCTGGTTCCAGAACCGACGGGTCAAGCACAAGAAAGAAGGCAAAAGTAGCTCACACCGGGGCGGGGGGAGCGGCCACAGCTGCAAATGCTCATCCCTTTCCACCATCAAATGCTCGGAAGACGACGAGGACTTGCGCATGTCTCCGTCCTCCTCGGGGAAGGACGACAGAGGTCTCGCAGTCACGCCCTAGCCCCCCGCACACCCACCCCGGCTCCCCAGGAACTGTGGCGAGAGCAGGGGAAGGAGGCCTGCCTGCCCCGGTGCTGAAATGCAGCCGAAGGATTTTATAATGTTTTGTATAATTTGTGTAATTTACAAAGGACTTTCTAGTCTTTCTAGACCCCCGGCCCACGAGGACGGGTACCCTGGCACCCTGTTGTAAATAAATTGCTCCCTAGGACCCCAGGCGCCCCCCCCCCCCCCCCCCCCGTAGTGCTCTCTCACTTGTCTCCCCGCAGGCACAGCCCCAAGCCCGGGAAGGTCCTCGCAGACCACCCCGCGCACCGAGACGGGCGCGGATGCTGCGCAGTGCCGGGAGGTGCGTCCGCCTGGAGTGTTGCCTGTCCTGAGCTTTCTCCGGTAACTCGGCGGTGCCTGAAAGCAGGTGGATGGGGAGGGTCGAAGGCTGCTTGGATTATTATATTTTCCTTTTCCCCTTTTTTTTTCTTTCAAAAATTGCTCTCGGTTTTGTTTCGACTTAGTCGCTGCCGGGCACACAGCTGTGGTTGTACCGTTCCGTCCCACTCCCTCCCCCTGGGGGATATTTATTTATTTATTTATGTGCAGATGATGGCGATGATAATAATGATTATGATAACAATAAAAGCTCGTTGGTGGTTTATGTCCTTCCCTTCGCGTAGAAAGCAGCCACTCGGTATTTGCGATCGTGCGCTGGGAGCACCGTCGCTCTCCAACTCACCCCGCCGTAGCCCGGCACCGGGACACTCCCGCCCCGGCGAGCGAAGATGGCGGGGACTCTTCCTTTCCCCGGGTCGAGTTGAAGGTATGGGGTGCGGGGGACCCTTGCCCCCTGTCCCGGGAGCTTTTTCGGTCTTCCCCGCGAAGCTAAAGGTCGGGCTGGGGAGAGACTGGGCTGAACACATTTCCTTCCCACCCCGGTAGCAAGTCTGCCGGAGAGAGATGCACGATGTGTACCCATAGATACGTACGGCTGCACGTGAATACAAACACCTGGCTGATGGAGGGCTCGGCTCCTCTCTCCATGTACCCGCTGCCATCAGCGGCGAAGGACCGCCCCGGCCTCTCGCTAACCCGTCGGGGCTAAGGCCGGTGCCGGCCGTGCTAGGGCTCCCTCACGACCACCGGGCTCCGGCAGCCCCGCTCGGCCGCCGCATCCTCCCGGCACCACTTTGCCGGTTTTAAGCGCGGTGCCTCATCCCGGTGGCCCTCGGAGAGCCCTGCCGGAAGTAGCCGGCAGGTCCCGCAGACCCGGGGGTGCCACACGCGGCGGCAGGGCCGGACCGGCATCAAACTCCCGCGAGTGCGGCACCCTCAGGGCCCGGCGCTCCCGGCGCCGCTCCATCTGTGCAGGGAAAGGCCCTTTGTGCGGGGAGCTGCACCACCTGACCTGGCGGGTTTCAGGTCCAAGGAATGTGCTTGGGTCTCTGGGCTACCATCGGTCCCTGCCGGGACGGGACTCATTCTGGAGCATGTCCGAAACAACGGAGGCCACCGGGAAGAGTCAGGAAGGGAGATGTCATCCTTCATGGGAAATCCCCGTGGAGAAGGTCAACAAAGCTCCGCACACAGGCTGAACTTGCTGTGGGAAGCTGTGCGCTTGGGATCCCTGGGCAGCAAGGATGAAGGTACAGCAGGTGAAATTGCCACTGCTGGGACAGCCTCAACTCCTGTCCATAAAACAAATGTGTTGTCTTTCGGTCTTCCCAGGTCCCTGAAGCTCTTTGTATGGCTGTGGGTCCAGGAGATCTACAGGCTCCTATATCTCCATCCCATGGGGGAGCGGAGACCATGACCTTGCAGCCCATGGCACACTGTGAACCTCTGTGGACACCCAGGAAAATGGGAGGTGGAGGGGAACCATAGACATGACAGTGCAGGACAGGCACAAGACAGTAGCCATACCCTACTGTGTCTGGCCTGATTTATGTTTCCTTACCCGGAAGGTGCAAGAACTTGGTGACACTAGGCAGCTGTATTATCAAGATGGGGACACATGGACAAAATCTTTAGGCTGCTTTCTCTCCTTGGTGGTCTGCCTTCACCCACTGACTCCTGGGACCCTTAGACCTCTGACTTCTTTCTCCCTGCTCCCTCCTCTGCTTGCTTCCCACATTACCCATGTGAGATGGGATGGCAGGACAAGCTCGAAGTTTGGACACAACACAGGCATCATCTTCCTAGCTCTTTTTCCCGTGGCTCTTGGGGATGAACTTGGCAGGTCTGAGACCAAAATCTGGCCTCGATATAAGGGTCAGTCAATCTCACTCCGTGCTTGGCCCTATAATCCCTGTGTGCCCTTCCTTCCCCAGTGGACCAGTTTCAAAAGGAAAGACCCCTCGGGGGACCCTAATTGGCACAGCAGGGCCCTGCAGACTCTCCGGCACTCACCTCCCATCCTGTTCACATTTACCAGACTTGTTTTGAAAAGCCGTTGCAAAATAGAGGCAGAAACAGCCTCATGTGGGTTTACCGAGGGGTCTGGCATCCTCTTTAATAGAGCACTGGCACTAAAGTCAGCGAACACCCGCAGAGGCATGTGTGTGTGCTCCTCATGCCTGTTCAGCAGCATGGGTTTGAGCCAGTTGGCTGGCAGTGAGATGGGAGGAACAAGAGAACTGGGCGTTTGAGTGTTGCTATTGAAGTGTTATTGTGGCGGTTGTGTTGAGGCTCTCGAAGTCCTTGTCTGCCAACACATCCCCACCATCTCTCTGTCCTTCCTGGTACAAGCTCTGATATAAAAAAGTGTGCCTCCTCACACTCTTGTTTAGAGGCTGAGCAGAGGCAGATAGGGACAGTTCCTCACCATGGTGAGAGAGATGATCAGGCAGTGGCATTGCCCAGCCAGCCTGCTCCTCTCTCGCTCTGAAACCTGGGCAGCAGTACCCAGACACCTGGGGAACAAAATAAATTTTGAACCAGAGCTGCTGGGCTCCCAGGGTGCAGCTGGAAAACTTTCTAGGTGTGCAGAACCAAGTTCACTATCACATCCTCATTGCAGGCACAGAGGCCATGGACTGCGAGGAAGGATCTGGCAGTGATGCTGTCCCAGTGGATGCATACGCTACAGAGAGTGTGGGTGCACATGTGACTGCACGCTTTATGGACTGAGTTTGTCAGCCAGACAATCTGGAACTAATCCTCAGCTCTAAAATGTACCTCATGTATGTAAAGTAGCAAAGAGAATTCCCTCGTATGGTATAATTTTGTCTGAACAGCAGTAGAGTATCACAATGGATGCCCCCAAGAAGACAGTATTAATATTCTCCAATACACACTGGCCTCTGCTGCAGACCCTGTGTACCTTGCAAAGCCCAGTGGGGCTCTCAGTGCACTTGACAGTCATTATGCCACATCCACATGCAGAGATAATCCCTCCTTAGTTGGGCATTTTTCTAATTTAGTGAGAAATCATTACAGCAAATGCTCAGTGTCATTTTCAAGGACTCTGAGGTTGGGCAAATTAAAGTCATTTTGCTGTGGGAAGAGCGTGGGCACCTCTGCTAAAGTGAATGTCATAACATGCCAATTTTCAGCTTTCTATCTCTAGCCATTTTGGTGGCAGGTTTCCGAAAGTTACTTAAGCATTTTAGCATCTAAAATGACCGGTCTCACCCAATTACAATGGAAGCAGATTTAAAAATGCGCGAAGTGACTTTAAATATTTTCCAGCATATACTTTTTTTACTATATTTTCATCTTAAAATTGAATTATTTCTGCCCTATCATGCAGAGAGGAGACTCTTTGGATGCTATCGAGGCTTTAAAGACTGTGTCCCAGAGGAAAAGTGGCTATTCTGGCAGGGGAAGGAGGACAAAGGATGATGCTGATTTTCAGGGGTCTCTTTTCCACCCATTGGCAGTGTTGAATGTGGGTGTTCCATGCCCCATCCCATCACATATGTAGCCACTCTCCTCTCACAGGCGCAAAATGTGAACATGAAAAATGATAGATTCCTGGAAAAGACCAGAAGTTTGGAGTGAAGAAACTTTTCAACACTAACGGCCTATGTACTTACAACTATTTATTATTAATTTACATTATTTGGCTTTTATATTTATGTGATTTTTATTTCTATATCTAGACTTAATTTCATTCCACATAAAGGCTGCATCAAATAGGTTTGTCAAACATGTACTGGTATTTTAAATGCTGTTGCTCTTAACCACAAAACTAGTATTATTAACCCAGGAATTCCATAATTCAGTTTATCTGTATTTACACAGTGCCAGCTCAGAGCTGGCCCAATGGCTCTGGAATAGTGTTTGAAGTAAATGGACTTTCTGCTTTGGAATAGCATTACATTGAGGGTAGGTGGGTATTTCTTTCACTCTTGTTTACTTGGAGTGAATTTTACCTATTAATTTACTGGGATAGCAAGGCTTCATTTTTAATCCTTAGGTTCCTGAGGGTGGCTATGAAATTTGATTCTCTAATGACAATATAATTTTGTCTGTGAACGTGATTACTCTAAAATATAGGTGGGTGTTAACAAAAGATCCTAAATAAAATGGTTTTGTATGATATTCCTAATGATTTGAAGACAGGTACATCAACAGTAGCTATCTCTCAATTACATTAATTTTGAAAGTGTTTTTGGTATGAACATAAAGTACTCATTTATCAGGATGTAATTATGCAAGATCGGGACATCTCCTAGGATACTGACACTGATGATGACAGCAAAAGTCTGGGCCTGGTGCTTAATATGTCTGTAGCCATATGAGAGTGGCTGCCCAGTGCTGGACAGTTAACTACTCTGGAAGTACTCTATGTATTCTATATTATATAACCCATATAAACTCATGTATATATAAATTAAAACAAACTAATTAACTAAAAAAAGAACTAGCAGCTATCATAAGCAGGAAAAAAAAATCTTCATTCTTAAGTTTGCTATATCCCCTTTCTCATTCTGCTGAAAGCTTCTCTAATTTCCCCTCTCCTTCTTGATATTTTCTATTAGGCTTGTTCCCAACAAAGGACACGTGGAAAAGAGTACATTTGAATCATGTATTTAATACCAGTCTGTATAGATCAAACTGGAAAAACATATCAGTAGAATCTCAGGATGGACTCAATATGTGCCTTGGATTCAGTTGCTTCTGTCAGATCTGTGTCTATTCTCTTTCCTAGCCTCAGCTTTCCAATTATTAAGTGTATTAGCATCAGTCACAGACTATGAATACATTGTTTTATGCACTTTGCAGCCAGAT